AAGACCAGAAGATGCGACTTTGTGCTCTATTTGAGAAAGTAAGAGACCTGTCTGTGATTTTGGCTAAAGGAGTTTTAATATTTATATTTTTCTTAATGATTTTTCTTTTTTTCTTTTTCGTTCTCTTTCTCTGTAACATATAAAAGTATTTTTTCTCTTTTTCTTATACATGTGTGTGTGTGTGTATATATATATATAAAACTTTGATTTTATTAACGATTTAACTTTACGAATTCTTTATAAGATAGGTGGAAGGAGAGAATGGAACGTTGTGTAACGTTTATATAACATCAATAGGTTTCTCTGTAGTTTGCAAAAGAATGTACTGATTATATTTCAAATGTGCCTTGAAGAGATGAATATAGTAATTAAATTATCGACCAACAATATATTTTTGATTCGTTCTTCGCTCTTCTGACCGCATTTTGGCTTTTACATTTGTACCTTTCGCAGTATGAGACTGTCTTGATGCAGGACTTTACAGTCGGGCTTAGTTGCCAATATATAAAGATCAGATATTTAACAAAATCAGGAGAGAATGTTTCGAATTTTACTGCACAAAACATCTATGTACCTAGTTTTAAAAATATGTATAATTTACATGAGTCTATATATACATATATATATATATATATATATATATATATATATATATATATATATATATATGAGTGTACATATTATATACCACATTTATATATGAATAATAAAGATATAATATTTTGATGTAAACACTTACGCACTTTTATAAATTGTTTAATTTCTCTTAAAATCTTATTATAATTAAGAAAATCTTAAATATTTATTATATGAATTTATATACAATATTTTATTGTTATAGAATTTTTGTAATATGAATGGCATAAACAACTTTGAATTGTAGATTCCAAAATTTTATCCTAAATATTATGAACATACGTCATTACCACATCATTTATTACAAAGATTTCCTTTTATGAAAAAACAAAATCTTTAATCTTAATTTAATCTTTAAATTTATATATACAGAAATTATAAATAATTATTACTAAATATATATAATGATTGAATTTTTATAAATATGTATACATTCTATTCTAATAAATACATAGATAAATTATGTAATTTATAGATTACGATACACTGATTAATTTATATTTATTAATAAAGTGTATTAGACATATCTCGTATAATTATGTAGAATTATAGATTTATATTTAGATTTATATTTTTTTATATATAAATCAATAAATGTAAGAATGTGCAAGCAAATTATCAAGCAAATTATCATGCATCAATTATGTATATTTAATAATTATATTTAATTGTGTATAATATAAATCTTTTCCACAGCCACATTATGAATGCCTACTAAAATTTGTTTCTGCGCATACTGGTTTAAATCTAGCTATATTTCGCGCTTCTAGAATATTCATACACTTGTTAGAGTGCGCGCTTCTAGAATATTCATACACTTGTGCGGTTAGAAAATTGCAAATTAGTTTTGTCGATCAATTCATGTCACATTGTCTGATATTTATTTTATTAATATTACATTCAATCCTAGATCCGCAGACATTTATCGGACATCAATATCAGATTGTTTCGCGCCCTCTTCCACGCTTGTAAAGTTTCGCCTCTACGTTCCAATGATCCACGGTCATATCATGAAAACATTTCTCCCACTCCAACTTCGAATGTTGGTATACATTTGTGGCAACACACATGACGTGCACATATGCAACTAGAAACAGAGAGCAGTATGGCAGCGCATTGACAGTATTGTGACTTTCGTTTTCTGTGGCGTATCGATTCCTATCGATTCGCCAAACAAATAAACGCTACCTGATCGCGGATTGATCGACTAGTTGTTCCGACAGCTGCCTCTTGAGATGGGAGTGATATTTCTCGAGCACATCGGTGGCAGTCGCCTATTCTCTTGCGCTTCCTGCGACACCAATCTCACCAACAGATCACAGCTCGTGAGCACACGCTTCACGGGTGCCACAGGACGAGCTTTCCTCTTCAACAAAGTCGTCAATCTGAATTATAGGTGCGCCTCTTATTCTTTCCGTTCGTTGTATATCGCTCGAATATAAGATGAATTTTCGACAAAAAGATGAAAGAACGTTTCGCTCGCAAGTCTTATCGTTATGTGACAATGAAACGTTCGTTAATTTACATTTTTTTCTTTCGTTTTTTTCAACGATTCTTTCTTTATACACTTTATTTTGTCTATATCTTCTAATGTCACGGTTAAACATTTATTAAAAGGTATAAAATTTAAGGTAATATGATAATTGAGATTGATATATGATAGTTGAGATGTGTGTAAATGTCAAATTCAGACTTGTACGATATTTTTTACTATTTAATTCTGTCATGTGATGTACAGCGAGGTTCAGGATAGAGTGATGCTGACGGGTCGTCACATGGTTCGAGATGTCAGCTGCAAAAATTGTGATGCTAAGCTTGGGTGGGTGTACGAATTTGCGACAGACGAGCAACAACGATACAAGGAAGGTCGCGTTATCCTGGAACGAGCTCTCGTCACAGAGAGCGATGGACTGACGGAGCATAATGTTCAACAATAATGTTTAATATTTAATACCAAGTAGCGTTTAATATATTAAGATAATCTAGCATAGGACTTCTCGTATAAGTTATTATAATATATATTTAATCTTGTTGTCAATTACAAGAGACTCTTTGTTAGTATCCAACTTATTCATACATACATTGACGATGCTAATTCATTACAACAAACGACGTTCAACATTTTCGTGAATATGGTACGGTTCCTATTCTTGTATTCTCTGAAAAGGAGATGCCTCGGATTTTATTCTTATTTATGTCATTCTTTTATCCCACATTTTGCATCAGATCTTATTCACGACAATCGCTGAATCCATTTAAATGTAAACATTGATATTTTCTTGTAGATGGAACATTAATAAACTGACCTCAGTGGCAAATATGTTTGTCAAGAAAATTAAGAAAACGTGAGTATACACAGTTAGTAAGCGTGTATCAACAAGTGCAATATAGACATGAATCAAACAGTATAAATCAGTTTTTATTTACCTTACCAATAAATTGAATAAACAGAAGCAATAACATACAAAATTAATTATAATTATTTAAAATATTTAATTTGAACTGTTCATGAAAGTTTGTAAAAAATACCAAATAAATCTTTGGGGAGTATTCAAGTCTCTTTTAAATATAATTATAGATACAAATTGAAAAGATACACGAAGACTTTTCAAATCTATTGAGTCACGTTTTGGAAATTTTGAACACTTCTAAAGGAAACAAAGGTCACATTCGATGTAAACATAAAAGGAAATGAGAAACATTTAAATTTGACAATGAATAATACATTGATACAATCTCAATAATATTAGAGAAACGTTTACTCTCTGAAAAAGCGGATAATAATCTCATATAGAGATAAAAATAAAAAATCATTCCCAATCTTAACAGATTTTGAGCGATAAGAGTCGTGATAAATGACAACATGCAAATAACAATATATAATACATCATTTTCAATTGTGCGTCTATTTCGTTAATTAGCAGAATCAGCCTATGCCAGTTTATCCTATTATCTCAACGCAATATATGTAAATTAAAAATCCGCATCTATTTCCATAATTCTCCAATACGTTTTAAATACATAAACTTTATACAATTTTTTATTGTGCTTTGTTTTTTTATAGATTCAATGGTTTTTATATTAATCTACACTTATCATATCATATCATTCAAGTGATACAAGTTTCGTCATAATCTCACGTTGATCTGTTACATCTAATTTTCAAATAAAAAAATTTAGGCATATATATAAGACGGCAAAAAGACGAAATAATTAAAAAGGCGTAGAGGGATATTAAATTATATAATTTATTAACATAAATGCTTTTTTGCATTATACATTTTGCATTTGTAATTTGTGACGCTTTTAACTTCGATTCTTGATATTTTATTTTTTTCTCTTTCTCTTCTCTCTCAGCATAATTAAAAAAAAAAGAAATTTAATTATCACGATGGCAATACGCCGCGATTCAACTAGCAAGATAACAGCAAACAATTCGAGATGAAGCTGCGCGCGGTCGACGCATTCGCGAGACAAACGAACCGCGCCCGTGGGCGCGACGTGATTGGCTGCCGTGCTCGATTGGCGGCGACCAATCCACTGCCGGCGAGACGCTGCGAACGAGCCGAGCGGATGGCAGAGCAGTGTGGTCACGTAGTCCCACCGCGCCGCATGGTGGATGAATGCTTCTCTCGTTCGGACACCGGAATAAAATGCTGTAAAGTGTGCGTCGTCACTGCCGCACCAGAGAGGAAGGAGCGTGCCAGTGGAGGTTGTCCCTCGTCGATCCACTTCATCGGTAATTATCAGTTGCATCTGACCGCGGTATGAATCGCGATGAGGTGGGCG